TGCCAAAACATCAGAATAGTTAGTAAGTGAGGAATTTTTAAAATGTCAACTATTTGCCAAACTGTTATATTAACAGTAAATACACTTAGTTTTAAGGCTGCTGCAACATACTAAAATACATAAGAAAACATTTTAATACAAAATTATATATTCTAAATTTTAAATTACCTCTTTGAGAACATTAATAGTAAAAACTTCCCGTCATTATTTCTTGTTCAAAATAATCTATCTTATATGAAAGCTAATTAGCTTTCTATAGACTATTTAGTTGTTTTGGCATAGCACAATCACAATACACAACAATAATTGGTTTTTACAGCTATTAATCTAAATTTAATATGTATTTGTAGGTACAATTTATTAATATATATATATATCATATATATATATATATATATATATTATATATTATATATTATATATATATATATATATCTATATATATATATATATATATATATATATATATATATATCTATATATATATATATATCTATATATATATATATCTATATATATATATATATATATATATATATCTATATATATATTATATATATATCTATATATATATATATTATATATAATATATATATATATATATATATATATATATATCTATATATATATATATATCTATATATATATATATATATATATATATATAAATATATATATATATATATATATATATATCCGGTTTTTTAGGCGTTACGCCCGTCCGGTAGGGATCTATGGAGGAGTATCACCGAGCCGCAAGCCCTTATCTCTTGCCGTACTGCTCCACCATAGGCCGATCAGAACCCAGCATATCCTAGTCTAAGCCGCAGATTCATCTAGAATTTTAAACTGCATCGTTAGACTTTTTGTTTTCTGTACACCGAGCTGGGGCTCGACCCACATCCACTAAACCATTCGACAGTGAAGCGAATGAGAGGCAGCCGCACAGCCCGCTGAGCTATCCGACCGACATATATATAATATAATATTATATTATGATTAAATTGTGTAAGAAATCAAAACAAAAAAAATTCTTACTCTAAAAAAGCGGTAACACTTTATATAATTTTAAGACACGCTGAACTGTCATTAAAATTTAAAATATTCCCGTATCAGTTGCTTACAATTGTCTAATCTATTTAATTAAAATTATTATTTTGTGGAGTATTAGACTTAAAGAGTTATTTAAAATAAAATAAAATAAAATTTATATTATTAATAACAACAAATGTGTTTAGTTATTTAATCAATATAATTCTAAAATTCCTAATATAATAATGATTACATTTTTCTGATTATTATACCATGTTGACGCCTATAAAAGATCAAGAAGTTCCGTCATCATCATCATCATTTAACCCGGATCTATCCACTGCTGGATATAGGTCTCCCTCAGTCTTTTCCATGTATTTCTGTCCGTTTTATGTCATCAGACCATCTTGTTGGTGGACGACCTCTACTTCGATGTGCTTCTTGTCTCGGTCTCCACTGTATTATTCGCTGTGTCCATCTGTTATCCGACATTCTAGCTATGTGCCCCACCCAGTTCCACTTAAGGGTCATAATTCTTTCTTTCTGTCACTCCTGTTCTCCGTCTTATTTCCTTGTTCGTGATCCGATCCCTACGAGAAATGCCCAACATCGATCGTTCCGTGGATCTTTGGGTAACACAAATTTTATTTCTTACTTTCTTGGTTAGTGTTAATGTCTCTGCACCATATGTAAGTACTCTATATGAGAAGTTCCGTATGGGTTTCGTATTATTAGCTGTGTTAGGAAAATTTAAACTGTAAGTCTCTAAATCTAAATATAAGTGACGTCAATTTATATAAATTGTGAGGTGAAACGTATTTACTTTAAAAAATGGTATATCTGAATCATTTTCAATAACAAAGAGACTTAAACAAGGATGTTGTCTATCTCAGACCTTATTTAAAATATACATTTAAATCATCGCTAGAGCAGTGGAGGAAACAAGTATCCGGAATGGGAATAGACATAGGCGGTGGTAAATGTCTAACAACTTTATTTTTTTACTTGGTCCTTAAGTACACTTACTTAAGGACCAACCTATATAATATAACATCCCATTGCAAGAATTCCAATCATCTGTAGAGTTAACAATTAATTTTATAAAATCCATGAAGACGGCACTGTCTTACAAGAATAATTAACACCCTAATTGTTTCACATGTTTTTTAAGCGCGTCCTAACTGCCCTAACTACCATTTAGATACGTATTAGGCTCAGGTCTTATCTCTATTTCGACCCAGTTTTAATTTTTAGACATGCCGTCTCATTAAGAGGGTTGATACTTTATCATATTAAAGGTGAGCACTCTCATAATTTTTATACATCGATAAATGTTGACGGGAATGTGGGAAACGATGAGCAGTGTTCAAGGTGAATTTAATTGTTAGATTTTTATCTTATCAATTAAAAAAAGAGGGTCACATAATCGCTGTTTTTATGCATGCTTGAAGCGAATTATGATCTCACTATTGGCTACTGGGTCATCATTTGTATTAAATAAGTTAGATTAAGCGAAACGTATTTAAAATTATTTTTTTTTGCTAATAGGATACTGTTTCTAATTCCTTGTGTTCATTTTATTAGTAATCACCACATAAATTATATGCTGTTTTTGAATAAATATCTTTTTGTTGTTTTGGTTTTTATGTCGACAAGGCTTTTAAGATAATTATTTTATTTTCTTGTTTCTAGGTGTCTACTATATCTATCTAAAGCTTATCTATTATTTATTCATAATATTCGTATTGCCCTGCAGAGTTGGCCAGAAGAATGCGAGCGCACAGGTGGCCGAAAAGAATATTGGACTGAGATCCGCCGGGAAGAATACGGAGAGGAAGACTTTCTATAAGATAAAAAATATTCATAGGAAAGTCTATTATAGATAGAGATCTCAGAGAAGACAACTGGAAAATTATAGTGCTGTGAAGGACCAAAACGGCGAACTCATAATGGGAAAAGACAAAGAAGAAAAAGAGAATATTTTTATAATAAGGTATATCATAATTTTTAATCTGTGTTTCCTCCAGTAGCATTAATAATAGCTTGACACCTCCTTGGCATGTTTAAAATTAAATTGATATAATAATTTTTAGAGGATTCATTCCTGGTAAGAAGATCGGGAGAGTGCGAGCGACCTTATCCTAAGTATGGAATAAAACAATTGTGCAGATAAGTATTAAACAATCCCATCTCTGTAATCTGCGTACTGTTACTGCGACGTACGTGGGCTTGTGTGAGCCTGCATGTAACTAAATTCAGGACCTGCAGCAGAAGGCAAATGGAGAGGCAAATGGGAAGCACATTAGGTCTACAGATTCGACCATATATTGAGAATTATGCAAAGTAACCTTCCACAAAAAACGGAAACAGTTCTATTGATGTAATAAGTTATATTCCTGTCCACACAGTTAGGTACACCATATTAGATTTTCACCGTGTAATGAAGGCCTGATATTTCTTGGTCACTACGAGGTGCGTTTCAAAAGCATCAATCTGTTTTCTATACTGGGTAGGTAATATTCGAACGTCATCTGTAAATACATTGATACTACCTTGTCTTGTATTCCCCTCATTATTTTGTTAGTGGTGCGAACAGGTATCTTTGGATCCTCATTTCCAGTGAGGTAAATGTGGTAAAATCTAAACTTAGCTGTAGGTTATGGTACAGCTTAAGGGTAAGAGAGGAATAAAAGGTTTGTAAATAAAAAGGTGTTAGGGGGGTTTTTTTTAGGAAATAGTGATTTTTTGTAGATTTTTAAAATGGAGGTAGTGAGTTTGAAGTAAAATGTAAGGTTAATGTGGTGGTTTTTGGATATGTGAAGTATGATGGTAGGATAGGTATAGTTATTTGGGATGTGATTTGAATATGAGGTGAGGGTGGATTTGGGGAGAGTAGTGGTGGTTTGGTTATTGGTTGGGATTATTATGATGGGTTTTTGAATAAGTTTTGACATTGATTGTATGTGTGTTAATGGGAGGTAATAGTTAGGAGGTTGAGAGGAAGAATTATGGTGGGAGATGGATGAATAGAAGTTGGGTTTATTTGGGGAGGTTGATTGTGGGTTGGGTTTGTTTGGGTTGGTTTGTATGGTTTTAAGAGTTTTTGGGTTGTTTTTGTGGTGAGTTATAGGGAATTGAAGGTTATTTTATTGTTTTAATTTGGGGGAGGGATTATGGGGTTGGGGAGGTGTTAGGGGGATTGGTGGGGGGTAGGATTAGTTTATTTTGGGTGGGAAATAGAGTGGGTGGGGGGGGGGATTGTGAGAGTGAGTATGGGTATGTGGTGGGTTTGTTAGTAGAGTATTATAGTGGGGGGGGGGGGTTGTGGGGGGTTTGGGGTTGGTGTTGGGTGGGTTTGGGTTGGGTTGGTGTTGTTGGGGGGTGGGTGGTATTTTTTGTGGGGATGGGGGGGGTGGTTGGTGAGGGAGTTGGGTTTGGGGGGTGGGGTATGGGTTTTTGTGGTTGGTGTGTTTGGTTTTTATGGGAATTTTGTATAATTAGTGGGAGGTTTGTTTTTTGTGTTAGTGTTGTGTTGTAGTGGGGTTGGATTGGTGGTGTAATAAAAGTGGGTTGGAAAGGATGTGGGGAGATTATGAGAATGGGGGGAGTATTGTAAGTTTTTTTTTAGATTGGAGTGTTTTTATAGAAGTAGAATATCGATTAATTAGATGTAAGCGAGCCTAGACACTCTTATAAATTTTTCTTAGAATTACTTCACATCACAATTAGACGCAAATGCGATAGAAGAATCTTAAACAATACACTAATTTGGTTTTAGAATGCTATGCGCGCCCATACAACGCACGCCGTGTGACAACAGTACCAACCCGCCATCCTCCAACCATCTCAGATCATCTCCGCTTAACTTCCTATTAACAAAAATGGCATGAACGAAGGAAATATAGTATTTGGCATGTTTCGTCGGACTGTCCAAAAAGGCATTCGATAAAGTACATCATGTAAAATTAATGCAAATACTAAAAAATACCGGAATAGATGAGAAGGATATTCGTGTCATTAAAAATTCGAGTCAGACAAGGTTGCATTTTGTCGCCAACATTGTTCAATGTTTACTCGGACCAATTATTTAAAAAAGGGCTTTAGATACAACTATATGAAATAAAAATCAACGGGGAACTGCTTACTGTGATTAGATATGCAGACGATACAGTAATTCTATCAGATAATATTGAAGGCCTGCATGATCGTATTCAGGAGGTAATAGAGGAAATGGGCATTAAAATACACTCAAACAAAACCAAATTTTTAGTGACCCACATCCCGATCCAAAGCTTCAATCAAACGGAGTCCAAGTTGAGAAAGTTCACAAAGTGACATATTTGGGAACTGTGATAACGGACCAACTAGATCCAGACAAAGAAATTAAACGTAGAATAGCAATGACTAAAACTACTTTTATGAAAATGAAGTCATTGCTTTGCAATAACCATCTCAGTTTAGAACTAAGGCAAAGAATGGTTAAGTGCTATGTTTGGTCCATACTTTTGTATAGTGCAAAAGTGTGGACGCTAAAAGTATTGATCATGAACAAAATTAAAGCATTGGAAATGTGGATTCATAGACGAATGCTGAAAACACCTTGGACAGCAAGAAAAACGAATGAAGAAGTACTAAGGAGCATCAACAAAGATAGAGAACTGCTAAAGACTGTTAAACATCGAAAAATGTCTTATCTGGGACATATAGTAAGGGGAAGAAAACAAGTTTCTTAGTTGAAAAAAATTCGTGAATGTACTCAGATACCAAATGCAGGATAATCATTCCATATTGCAGAAGATCGAGAAGTCTTCGCAATGGGGATCGCCAACGTCGGATAATTCTGATATGGCACGCGAAGAAGAAGACAGAATATCTTCAAAATTTAAAGCACTATTCCTTTACAATTTGAAGTAATTAATCGTAAGAATTTAAGGCCCTGTCACTTTTGCCTTAATAAAGCAGTACAATTGACAGATTAATTTACATGGCATACCTTGATTTGTAGAGAACAAGTTTTTCAAATCGAATTGTATGAATTGATAAAAAAGCTTTTAAGTCTTTATTGACAAAGTTTTTATTAAAAAGGAATATGATTATGAAATTATTAGAAGTAGTATTTTTAGCATACTGTAGAAATAAGGCTTGAAATGTGTGTTCTTTTGCACAGGTCTATTATTGCTGAACTACATTGGTCCTTATACTATATTATCGTCATCTATATATTTCCAATATATCTGTTAATATTATCATTCCTTTTTATATAATATCTTTCAGATAATACGATTGGTATTCCTATGAATACCAACCATATTACCTGATTTATCATAATTTTTTCGCACAGTTAAATCTGGAAATTACCAGTTCATTATTGTCACTTGCTCTGTAACGATTTTCTCTTTGGTTACTGTTCTAATCCACTTGTTTGTCGGTAAACAAAAGTACGTCTATGGTAAAACGAGACGACGATGTTATCCGTCCGAGGAGTCTACATCAACTGTTTATACAATTCACTATCAGTAATTACTTTTAGACATGCAGCACTTTGTGAGTTATATAAAAAATAATTAGTTAAATATTATAATACTCTCCGTACTTGATTCTTATATAATTTTTAATTAGTTTCGTAAACAATGAGAAACAGCTCTATTTTACGGTGAATTGTTTCACATATACCTACTAACGACAATTATACCAGAAACGGCTAATCTACGATGTAATAGATAAAAATTTGTTGTGATGGTCACGATAAATGAGTTTTTTTATTGAATTAGTTAAAAAAAGAGGAAGTGATGGTGGACCACAAGGTAGAGTTTCTAGTCTATCTTTCTAGGTTTATATTTTAAAGTAAATAATGAAAATTTTTACAGATATACAATCTATATAAGCAGGAACTACGCAGAGAAAGTAAAACTTTTCTTAACTTAATTTATATTGCTGGGTAACTGAAAACACAATATCATATTTAAATATATTATCAACCACTGAATCAGAATTTTTGCCGAACAGTATATATCGACTAAAAATAGTTGAATAAGGAGATTAAGAAACAAAATCAATTAAAATGAATTCATAACATTTACAAGGTACACAGATACGTCCATCCACATTAAAACGACAAGTAAATATACAAAAACCAAAAATCCTAATAGTATCATCAAAATAAACTCTGAACAGGCCTTCTTAAGGAATTTTCATTGAGATCTACTCTTGTCAATCTGTTTTGGAGTACCACCCGAAATTACATTATCTCTTTTTGGTTTCCATTCTACATTTTTTCTGAAATACGTATTGTGTTGTTTCGTCTTTAATCCAGGATTTTGGAATTCGGTACCAGTTCTTCACTCAAATGTCACATCTTTTTAAGGGACGTCCTAAACTTTTTCCCTTTGGTTTGTAGTTAAGTATTTACTTATTGGGCCTATTTTCATTTATTCTATTCCTTCTTTCATGGCGCCGTCTCCCTTCGAATGTTGGCGATCCAAATGTTATGGTTATGGTTTTGGAAACTGCTGCGTGAAAGATTTTTGCGGATGAGCGGTCAAACCATCCCCTCAGGTCTTTCAGCCATGAGTTCTGGCGTCGTCCTGCTGATCTTCTGCCCTGTACTTTTCCTTCCAGTACAACTTGAAGTAATTCATATTTTTCGCCTCTTAACATATGACCCAAGTATTGCATTTTCCTCTCTTTGATTATTCTTAGTAATTCTTTTTGTTTACACATTCGACGAAGTATCTCAACATTAGTAACTCTTTGTACCCATGGAATGCTCAATATTCATCTGTATATATACATCTCAAAGGCATCTATTTATTATTTTTTATTTCAGAGTCCATTCTCCAACTTTCACAGACATACAGCAAGACAGAAAAAACGTAACATCTAATCATTCGGATTCTAAGCTGCAGACTAAGGTCTGATCTTGTAAAAAATGTTTTCATTGCTCATGAATGTTTTCCTTGCTTGTTCGATTCTTGATAGTTTTTTTTTTTTGATTACACTAACTATTGATATTTGCTCCAAAATATTTTATGAAATTTACCTGTTCGATTATTTTACCCTTGGCATACATGGCGTACGTTTATTGGTGTCTTTGAAAATACTAAAGTTTTAGTTTTGAAAACGAGATGTAAACGGAACATTTCGCTATGGTGAACTACCGCATTTATTATGTTTTGTAGTTCTTGTGCGTTGTTTGCTATTAAGATAGTATCATCAGCATATCTGATGTTGTTTATGCTGATTCCGTTAATCTTAATTCCGCCTTGGACCTGGTCTACTGCTTCTCTGAATATAGACTCCAAATACAAATTAAACTCTAGTGGTGATAAAATGCAACCCTGTCTCACTTCTCGTCGGATTTGTATATCTTCGTATCATCTGGAACTCGCACTTCTTGTAAATTCGTCTATGGATAATTCTGAAAAAAGTTTTAAGGACATGAGACATCAAGTTTAATATTCGATAATCATCGCATTGTGAGGAATTTGATCTTTTTGGTAATGCTACGAATGTTGATTTTAGACAGTCCGTTGGTATTTTACCTGTGTTATATATCTTATTGAACAGTGCTGTTATTAAGTCTCGGCTTTTACTTTCGTTATGTGCAATTTAGTTTTAGTATTTGACATTGATATTGTCTGGACCAGTGGCTTTTCCATTTTCCTGAGATTTTCTGTTTCTGAGATTATGTTTATATGTTGTTTTTATTTTGTTTAATATTCTTTTATTTTCTCATTGATGTAGTCAATGTTAAGTTCCTCTTTTTAGTTCTTTGTTGAAACGAACATCTAACTTATTTATATAGTCTATCGACTCTGTCTTCATTAGGAAATGGTTTGTGGTTGTCAGCAGTCACAGAGTGGGGATGGTCGTTTACCATATTTGTGCATCATGTAACTGCATCTGCCGTGTTGGGTTCTGATTCGGTTCAACATAGTCCATGTGTTGTGTGATAAGTCAAAACCTGGTGGTTTTTGTATGATGCAGGGTCAGCTGCTATTTTATTGTTCCATCCATTCTCGAGTCCAAGTGGTCGTTAAGTTGAACTCACTTCTCATTTTCCACAGCAGTCTGTGCTGTTTTAATTGGCAGTTGTCTGGAGCCTAGACGGTTACCGTTGACAGCATCTAATGAGTAAGTTCCAAAAGAAATAAATCTTTTGGTCAACGAGGATATCGGTCAAGGGAGAAATAATACAAGGAAATCACAGTTCCATTCCTATATTTGAAGACAAAATCCACAAGGAAAAATTCCTGTAGCTGGCTGTATACCACGTATAACAAAAAGAGGTTAGTCTTTGTAAATGGGTATATTTATTTAAAAAACCCTTAAAAGGGCCACATCAATAAAACAAACGTTTTCGGACCACACAGTCCATCATCAGGTTTTTAAAATCAAAAAATGCCTAAAAATAAATATAAACCATTTAGTTAAAACAAACGAGATTGTGAAATTTTGACTATGGTTGAAAAGCAAAAGATGGTTATACTTACTAGGTCACAATGCCTGAGCCACCAAAATACTAGGGTAAAAACCCTTTAAATTACATTTAGTTATGAAAGATTGTACATTGTGTTGTAAAATAACTGTGATGTTCAGTATTAAATTAAATTTGACTAGAGGTAACACATGGCTCAATCGAGTTCCAGAGCCGGTGAGAGAGAACCTCTACACTCGGAGAACAGCTGGGAACTGATTGACAAGATACTTATGAAGGATGAAGATAACAGAATGTCAATGCAACAAAAACTATAATAGTTGTACATAGTATTACTACAGCCAAAAGATTCAACAAGTTTTGATGATTTTAAAAAATAACAACAATCTAGGTGTTGGGATTTAAAAAACTTTTTTATTTATTAATTTAGGGTATAAAAGATGTGAAATCAATGATGGTTTTATAGTCATGATTAATAGAATGACCTGTGCCTTAGGCAACTTATGTTGCTTTTCGTCGTATGGAATGTGGTCTAAAGTGTATTTAATGTTGGGTTAGCTTATATATATGAAATTTATCCTTTTATGTTTAACACATCTAGGACAAGGTAAAAATTAAATAACAAATATTTGAAGCTAATATCAGACCTCATATTTAAATGACTTTATTTAAGACTGCTCCTATGGTGAAAAATTAATAAAATTAAGTTTAGTAAGATGGAAATCTACAGGCTGAAGAAATTAAAGTAGTAACCTATGTGATTGAATTTAAAATTGAAGAGGCTGGGTTCCTCAGAGACTAATGAGAATAAAAGTAAAGGAAATGACTGAAGAAAAGGAGGGGGGCGGTTGAAGGAGAAAAGGAGTTAATCAACAATTAGAGATAATAGGGGTCCTTTATACTTAAAGTATCTAGCACCCTGAACAAAATCTATTTTGGTGGTATTAAATTCAGTTTGTAGAAACCTGAAATTTGTTGTATAAGTGTGCTACTAAGTTGTTGACCGAGAGAAGGTGGACAATGGTAGATAAGGATTCTTTGTAATATGGTAGATTATGAATTTTAATAAATTGTTAGATAATGTTTGAGTGATTACTAAATTAAAACTATTGGATACATGTTTAATATATGAATTGACCAAGAAATAATGAAAGAGAACAGAATTGACAGGAATGTGATGTAGAAGTGAAGAGTGGATAAGATAGTGATATGTTGGTATGATAGATGTGGATGGTTCTGAAGTTAACATTGGGGTCGAAAATTTGTGAGAGGAAGGTG